GCGCCGCGTCTATTTATAGCTCCCTCCAATCCCTCGCCAATCCACTTTCCTCCTATTTATAGTAACAGTAAGTGGGTCCTCGCTGACAAGTCATCTTACTCCCTTCTCATCGCTCATTCACAACCTCCAGCGAGGGCGCTCAGAACCCAACTCCATCCTTAAACCTTAAACAGGGGGACGCGGAGGGGGCGGGGGGAGTTCATCGCCTGCCATTGATTTCCTTTAGCGCAGCAGAAAATAGAATGAGATCAATGCTCCCCATTGACACCTTTCATTCAAGCTGCAGCGTTATAGTCCGGGGACGACGCTCATCTACATAAATCAACGGGTTCACCTAATTGCTTTTCGTGGAAGGTGCGGGCCGCGCTCGTTCTGACGCCGTCTGGATGATGGAGCGTCTGTTTGGACGGCGGGGTTATTTATTAATGGAGCGATCAGCATGTGTGTGCGCCGGGCTTATCAACTATTACACGTGTGTTGCGTTGTTTGGTTTTCAGAGATTGAAGTGCACTTCGGGCGAGGTTCGCTTAGTGAATGAGCCCTCCCCCTTCTTTAATGATGCAGGAAAGTACAAAAGGGCCCCCGGGGGGCGGCAGACTTTTTGACTGTATAGAGTATGGTCACCAGTCCACTTTCTTGAGCCTGAGTAGAAGAGCCGGTCCCCTGCCAGAATGCTGCAGGGAAGGACCCTTGCCCTCTGTGTGGAAGCAGCGGCCCCTCTGCAGAGGTGGATTAGAGCTAGCGCTCTTCAATCAGCAAGGAGCATAACCTTTGCTCACGGATAAGGCCGAGCTCGGATCTCAGCTAGGGGTGTGTTGGACTTCTGCAGAGATGACACTAAGTGGAATATTTTCACATGATTATCCCCAAAAAAAGGTTTAAAAAAAAAAATCGACATGATTGAAAACCTGAAGTAGAAATTGGTCATGTGAGGGTTTTCCACTGCTGATTACTGGGCACATGTTAAGGGTTTGCTTGCACTGGGTTGCCTTTTTCGTACTTTGCCCTGTGAGGGTTGGTCATGTGAGGGTTTTCCACTGCTGATAACTAGGCATGCGCAAGGGTTTGCTTGCACTGGCTTGCCTTTTTTGTGCTTTGCCCTGTGGGGGTTTTCCACTGCTGATTACTAGGCACATGTAAGGGTTTGCTTCCAATGAGATGTGTTTTTGTTGCTTTGCCCTGTGAGGGTTGGTCATCTGAGGGTTTTCCACTGCTGATTACTAGGCACATTTAAGGGTTTGCTTGCACTGAACTGCATTTTTGGTGCTTTGCCCTGCACTGCCCCCCTTTGCACCAAGTGACTAGGTCCAATCAAGGATCACATATCAGCACGCCAATCATAGTGCGTCACTGCTGCTTTAGGACGTAAGCGAACCCAAACAAGCGATTTTTCTTCAATGTCTCATAATGTTCTAGAACACTTCGATCCAGCTTCCGGCGCATATCGATTTAAAGGCGCAGGGCATTGACACGAGGCGTTACATCTCAGCTGGGAGCGGGCCTGGTTAAGGAATAAAACTGACAGACATAATTTTCTCAGTATTGGACTTCACGCTGAGATAACGCGGAAACCGACGGCGAGGATCCGGCTGAGCGCTCCTCGGGCTGCTACATGTCAAAAATAAAAAATAATTTCCTAATGATTTTTCTGAATAAAAAAAAACCTACGGCTTGTGTAACGGAGCGCCCGGGATCACGTGCGGCGCGCGGGGTCTGGGAAAACGCAGAGGCGTGCTTTGACAGCCAACAAGATCTTCGCTCTTATCTCATGTCAAGTGGCTGTAGCAAAGATGGCGGCGAGTCGTAGCGAATTGAAGCTTTGACCTTCACATCGAGGTTGATAGGCTGCGTTCTCACGGGCGTCACATCAAGATTTCAACCTTCTTAAAGGGGCAGTCTCATGATTTTAGGGGTGAAAGCCGGAATTCCGGGCAGATATAAAAGATACAAATTAATGCAAGTATATAATTATTAATATATCATCCGATGTAACGTATAAAATAAAAGCAGTGTAAGTACCTGAAAGTGGCCTTGTATTGGCTATGGGGTGGGACCAGAATGCCCTTGGTTCAGAAGAAGTGGCTTAAATGGTGCTGTTTAATCAGTTCGTGGACTCACAGGAAGCGTGCTGACAGGAGGAGAGTTGCAGAGTGACACTGAGAGATGAGATCATCACCGTGCTGCTTCTCCTTTCACTGTCCAGTCACAGTCTGGGGGCTCGTCCGGGATCACCTGGGCTCATATTGTAGCAAAAAGTTTTTTTTTGATGAAGTTCTGCTTTAAAAAAAACAACCTTTCCATCCTCACAGCCATGATTGCCTGGCAAAGAGCAGAAAGGGCCCATTGTCTGTACAATGACATCACCCTGTGTCCCGCCCTCTAACCTCATCCGTCTTTCTTGCAGCAAGCTTCCAGGATGGGCCCGGGCGGTGGTTCCCAGGATGTTTTACGTCTGCGAGAAGGCCTGGAATTATTACCCCTACACCGTGACAGGTAAGCCTCAACCTCGGCAGTATTGTGGGGCTTCCAGAGAACAAGGGAATGGTGGGAGCCCCTCATAATGGGCACAGCGGGTGTACCGACCCGGGAACTCAGCTCAGTGATGCTGGGGGCCCCTCATAATAGGAACAGCAGGTGTACCGACCCGGGAACTCAGCTCAGTGATGCTGGGGGCCCCTCATAATAGGAACAGCAGGTGTACCGACCCGGGAACTCAGCTCAGTGATGCTGGGGGCCCCTCATAATAGGAACAGCAGGTGTACCGACCCGGGAACTCAGCTCAGTGATGCTGGGGGCCCCTCATAATAGGAACAGCAGGTGTACCGACCCGGGAACTCAGCTCAGTGATGCTGGGGGCCCCTCATAATAGGAACAGCAGGTGTACCGACCCGGGAACTCAGCTCAGTGATGCTGGGGGCCCCTCATAATAGGAACAGCAGGTGTACCGACCCGGGAACTCAGCTCAGTGATGCTGGGGGCCCCTCATAATAGGAACAGCAGGTGTACCGACCCGGGAACTCAACTCAGGGATGGTGGGAGCTCCTCATAATGGCCACAGCTGGTGTACCGACCCGGGAACTCAACTCAGGGATGGTGGGGGCCCCTCATAATGGGTACAGCAGGTGTACAGACCCGGGAACTCAGCTCAGTGATGCTGGGGGCCCCTCATAATGGGTACAGCAGGTGTACAGACCCGGGAACTCAGTTACCATAGAGATTATACACAATATAAAAATAATCTACTGGTTTACATGCTTAGCAAGCATGACAACATGTTACTAATGTGTGTTGTATGTAAATGTACAGATAAGGGGAAGAGGCAGAGCACTATATTATATGAAAGCCATGGGACTAGTCATTATATCTGACCTGCAATATGACACATCAAATTCACAAATGAACTGTTATCTGTCAATTACTTATCTATAACTCACTAACAGAACGCCTTGTCTCTGTCTCCGCCCCCCTCTCCTTACTTCTGCCTGAACTCTCCGTCCACCCATCTTTAATACCCCTCTATGGGCCGTCCTGCTGCACACTGATCTTCATCTCTCCACTTCACATGGAACGTCCGGGGGCCCCAGAATACACAGTAAGTTTCCATTCTGTTCAGAATAGACACTCCGATTTAATTCCAGTATGTGACCGAGCAATTTCCTCCATGTTATTATTGCATGAGAGAGAGGGAGAGAGGAGGATAGAGAGAGAGAAGGGGAGAGAGGAAGGGGGAGAGAGAAGGGGAGAGAGGGAGAAGGGGAGAGAGGGGGATAAGAGAGAGAGAGCAGGGGAGAGAGAGAGAG